TTACATGGGAAAAGATCCGAATACAACAAGACCAGCATACCTACACCCGTGAAAATCTACATACATACATACATACATACATACATACATACATACATACATATATGCTGGTCTTGTTGTATTCGGGTCTTTTCCCGTGTAAGAATCTTACATGGGAAAAGATCCGAATACAACAAGACCAGCATACCTACACCCGTGAAAATCTACATACATACATACATACATACATACATACATACATACATACATACATACATACATATCTCAGAACTTTCAGTTCCAGGAGCACCCATGGAATAGGTACAGAGAAGGTTAAGAGACAAAAATGCCCTCAGCCTTGAGGAAAGAATTTGAGAAGTAATTGAACAGCCCTGGTCTTTGGCTGGTTTTTTCCCCTTCCTTCATAAATATCACTTGCAGGCAATGAGAAAGGTATAATAAACTAGAAGGACATATCAATCCATAGTACCCTGTTTCCCCGAAAATAAGATCTCCCCCCAATAATAAGCCCAATTGGGCTTTTGAGTGCATGTGCTAAAATAATCCCTCCTCTCAAAATAAGCCCTCCCCGAAAATATTGCAACTCAGCAGCAGCCATGAGGTGACCATGCTAGTCTCCTTCTGCACCTCGAAAATAATAAGACCTCCCCAAAAATAAGGCCAAGTGCTTATTTTGGGGGTCAAAAGAAAATAAGACCCTGTCTTATTTTCGGGAAAACACGGTAGCAGATAATTCTTTCCTCCTTCTCTACTGTTTTTGATGTTGGCTTATTAAGCAGACTTCATAAGTGGTTGTATTTTTAATATTTCTGGGAGCGTCCACCAAGCTGTGAAAGCCAGCCTACCAAGAACATAGCCCACTCCTCTAGAGAGCCTACATTTGCATTATTGGATATTAGGACTGCTGATGGCAAGACTCAGATCTCAACAGATGCTGATCAAAAAGAAATTGATCCGTGGCAATAACTGAAAACTGATGTCCCAAATACCTCTTATTGTTTCTCTGCTTTAGAAAGAGTTGAGACCTCGTGTGTGCCAGATGAAGAAGGGCCCCAATGGATACGGGTTCAACCTCCACAGTGATAAGACAAAACCAGGCCAATACGTTCGGGCTGTGGATCCAGATTCTCCTGCGGAAGCTTCAGGGCTGCGGCCTCAAGACCGTATCATTGAGGTATGTATTGGGTGGTGGTGGTGGGTGCACTGTTAGTTGCACATTAATTAACGTTTGGTTAACCTAGACGCTGTCTTCTCAAAGAGAATTGATTAAAGGGGAGTTGTGATCCAAGAGTTGTGCCAGCTTAGCCATTTCTTGGCTTTTCGAAATCACCTCGTACAACTCGCTTGTTTTTAAGCCAAATAAAATTTGCCAGTGAACTTGGGGAATCAAAATACCCATTGTCTGATTTGAGAGTAGTTATTATTATACAGTATTTCTATACCCTGCCATAAAGGTAAAGGCATTTGTCTTTCCCAAATGCCTTTACCTTGCAAATAAGTAGAATTCTCTTTCTTGTCTGAGACCATTTCCTCAAAGATCTTTGTAGACTATTTTAACATATTTTAACATAAATTAAAACCTTTCTTCTTGGGCCCCTCTCATGATTGCAATCTCACCTGGCAGCAAGGTTCACCTGGATACTTTTGGCATAGGAGCTCAGTGGATCCACCTACGTGATGCTTGTTTAGAATCTTCAAATTGTCATCACTAATTACAGCTCTATCCAGCAAGGCATGTCCCTGCCCTGAGGAATTTGCCAATTAAATTGGAGTATGGAAAAGCAATAAAAAGAAAATGTTGGGGGCAAAGGTAGCAAGGGAAGAATAGGCTTATGATTTAAAAGAATATCCTTGATTCTTAACATTGGTTTCAGCATGAGCTTAAGCCTGAAAGTCCTGATGGACAGTGTCATAAGCACAATAGGATAGATTGGATGTTGATGACCCAAGTTCAGTTTCATGCCAAATAGTCTCTTTTAAAGATCAGAGGGGAAATGCCAATGGTAGGGAAGATATGACCAAGTCTGGGAGCCAAAGACAAATAGATCTTCGCACTGGATCATTTCACAGAAGGGCTTTGGAAGGGCTAAGTTAAACAAAGATAATTTCCCCGCACTGTCCAGGGATTCATAAAGGAGTGAGATTTTTCTGAAGCAGTCACCATTGGATTGCACAATCAAAGCTGTCAGGCGTGCATGGCTAGAGATGAGGCTACACAACACTGTAGATATGTGACATTTTATACAGACTCGCAACTACCCACTTGCATAGATGCCTTCTCAGCATGAAATTCTGTTCCAGTCTTTAGGGAGAAACAAGTATGAATAGCACTTTTTGGAGAATATGAGTTTAGCCAAACTGAGTGGAAGGTGAAGACTGAGAAGGCAATTCTCTATATTGTGCCAATGTATAAGCTAGGAAAGGGAGAGAGACAAACATATGCAGCTCCTACTGTGTGTAAATTTACAGACCCATCAGTATTTCAAGCCTAAGGCCAAAGGTTCTATAGCTCATTATTTTAATGCATATTATTTTTTGCCCTAAAGTGTGCTTAGTTTAGGCTTCTATAGCTCAACTACACAGAAAGGAGATCTAGCAACTAGGTTATTTGTTACTTCAGTATGTCACGAAACCAGGGTTGGGCAATCTTGATTGGTCAGTGTTGTGGGAGCCCTGGGTGTGTCTTTTGTGTTACACGCGTTGTTTTGCATGTGTCCAGTCATAAAGCCTTTGGGGCCCTAGAGGCATTCTGGTAAATAAAGATGATGATAGTTGGTACTTGCTGTGCAGCATGCCATTCTATTATGCTTCTATTATGTTTTAATTAAAAAGATCCTTTAAAGCAAAATAAGAAGTTTGCCAACACGGAAGGAGGTGTCAGAAAGATGCTGGTGTTCTCAAGCTCTATATTGCTGACCCTGCATTGAATTATCAAGCTAGCTTTGCAAATGAGGAGTGGGGAGGAGGGCAAGGGAGGCCACAGCAGTGCTGCAGCATCATGATGTGAGCCCCATCCCTTTTCTACATGCATTGCAATGTTGCATGTACTGTATGCTCCCAAAGGGGAAGTTGGAGGTCATCTTCATTCTGATAAAAGCAGAGGGTTGCTATACATCAGGGGTCCCAAATCCACAGGCCAAATCCCAGTACCGGGCCACGTCCCATTTCAAACCGAGCCACAGAAGTGATGTGGAAGCGTGCACACACTGTTCTGCTTGCGCCAGCAGCAGGTGAGTATGTGCATGCAGCTCCATTTGCACAAGTGGTAGGCATGTGTGCTCGCCACTACGTGAATAGAGCTGCTGCATGCACGTTTGCCATGTGGAAAACCATCTCTTCTCTCCCCCCCCCCCTCCTTTGCTAGTCTGCAACACCAGAAAGATTGGGAACTGCTGCTCTAAATGCCTATTTTGTGAAAAACAAAACAAGAAACCTTTTAGCTCAAAATGAAATTAATGTAAGGGTTATAATATGCAAATAATATATATACATATACCCTCTGTGGGTGGGTTTTGTACTTTCTTTTAAAACTACCTTGAGTGTAAAATTATTTATAAAGATGATAAAGGTGGGATAAAAGTAAAAATGAATAAATAAATATAGCTGATGTTCTTATTCCCTGCTGTTAAGTCATACTGACTAATAAGAATGACTTAAGAATAGTGAGCAAGAGTAATGGCATCAACTAAAGGTCAGAGCTGGGAGTATCCACTTTCAGTCTAATTAAAATGCTGATACATGTTGTAATTTATTTTTTATGATTTATAGATTGCCTTTCAGCACATAGGTGCTCATTAAGTTCTGAGTACAGCCAGGTTTATATTGCTGTTGCTGCAATCTAGCTATGTCCATCCCTGGCCTGTTTGCTGTGTTACACAAGGCACTTCTCTTTTAAGATAACAACCACAACTTGCCCTTATATTCTTGATTAAAATAATGCCTGTCCATATTCGTTAAGAAATTCAGAAGCCACAAAACATGGTGTTTTTAAATGATAATATAATCTTCAGCAAAATTTAATGGCCATCTTTCCTTCCTTCTTGAACCTTCAGATAGGGCAAAATTGGGCTTGTCTAAATACTGAGCAGTGTTATGCTCTCACTAGGCTTACTTGAAATTTAAAGTCATCCAGTGACCATTTTTAGTTTTGTTGACATGGTGAGGAATCATTGATGGTTCCTACTGAAAGGCCTACCGCTAGAGGTAATAGCCCTTATAAAGATAGATATCCTAAGATCGTAGAGCTGCTTTTGAATGATACTACATGGGCACTGCTTTGATAGGGTTAGGGTTTGATAGACTGCATCTGCTCTTCTGAAGCTCTCACCCTCTTGTGTGGACCAGTCGTGGGGTGCTACCAGTTTGGCCCGGTTCGGCCGAACCAGTGGTGGTATGGCGGCCTGGGTCGCTGGAACTGGCAACGACCCAGGCCTGCCACACCTCTGAACCAGTTCCCCAGTCACCACCATTGTCATCTTCTTTTTGAGTTCTGCACATGGGCAGAACAATTTTAACTGAATTGTGCATGCGCGCGCACGAGTGAATCAGCAGTAAAGCCCACCCCTGGTGTGGACCCTTAGACTTCCTTTGATACCTATGGGAGAATTTTCATTAGGAAGGCTTGTGTTATTGGACAATTTTTGGTAGAAATCTATTTTCTCCATAGTGAGGGGGGAGGAGTATCCAGGATGGGTTTTGACCTTATCCTCTCGTGATTGGTTTGAGTCATATAAGCTCTNCACATGGTCCAATCTTCTTCAGCCACGCTGGCATTTCCACCCATCTAGATCCAGTCAGATGCAGAGGTGCAGAGACAAAAAATGATCCTTGGGCTTCTAGAAAAGAATGGCAACAACACATTCTGCAATTCTACTCCTTTCTATTTCCCCCTCCCAACTACTACACTAATGAAACAGCACAGTGAAATAAAATAGTGTGTGACAGGCCAAAGATCCTAAAAGGAACATAACTACAGGCCTGACACCAGACCTTTGAGGTCACCAGCTTAATGACATGGCCAGATCCTGAAGGATGTCTGGAAAATGATTAGAGATTGAGTTAACCCCACTTTATGATGAGGGAGACTGTCCCATAAAGTGAGCACCATAGTGGAGAAGGCTTACCTCCTGAGATTCTGCCATAACTGGCAAGACCCACTGCATGCCTTTTCAAACAGATCTAATGGGATGGGCAGATGTAATTGAGGAGATGAGATCTTTCACATAATCCACCCCAAGTTAAAAGTTGGCAGGATCAGGAGTGCTAATAAAATAATTAGGCAATAATTAGATGCAAATCATCTGTTTCCCCTACGTATTGGATATGTGAGATCCTGCACTTCTTGCATTTCGCAAAACATATGATTTCCAGCTGACTTGAGAATACCATTTCTAGACTGATCCCAGAATATTATCCAGCTATAAACCAGGGACTATGTGCTGTTTCAACAGCTATACTTTTCTCACTCTCTGGCTCATTTTCCTAATTTTCCCTTCCCCTTTAAAGCAGTTGGTACTGGTAATAACTAGTCCTCTGAGCTCTTTGTAGGATGCTTTTACCTAGCACCAACTGGTGTTGCCAATTATAACCCTACTTGGATGCCCTGGTGCCAGTACCCAAGTCTCATCACAACTCACTTAACTGTTATAATTCTGAGTTAGATTACACTAAGAAGGCTGATTTTGGAAATCACCTGGAATTACAACCAATACAATATGTAGCTGCCGTACAATCTTCCTAAACTTTTTCTTCTTCTTCCATTACCACCATTTACTGGAGTATAACATGCAATAATTGTCACCAATTCATGGATCCCCACTTTCAAAGACACCTTTACAGACTAAATTAGCATATTCATATTTTTGGCATACATTTTACTCTTTCATTCATAATTATACTTACATTTTATTTCCCTCAATGTGTTTATCAACTCCAATTCATCAGATCACAAAGACTTATTATTACTGGTTTTTTCTTATAGACAGCATACATATAAAATACATAACATAGCTATTTTCCGTAAATTCCAAGTCACAACTGCCACACTTATTCCCATATGGGGCTAACCAACATGGTTTTGGCCAATTTAAGCTATGTTATCATACTTGTTAGTAAGGTAATGAAGGTGTAGACTAGGCACCAACCTTAGTTATCCCATATGTGTTGATTTTATTTTCCATCCTAAAAACATCTATTCCACACTGCTTATGATGCTGTCATCACTTGTCACCATAACAATGGGCACATCACTCATTCCTGATGGTACAAAATCAGGATAGAGGCTGCCTTAGAGGATAATTCCGGCCTTCCTGTTCTTGGCATTCAGTTTATATTTCCTGGTGATTTATTACATTGATAATGATAATCAATATGACAGTGAACTTAAATTGAAAAGAAACATGATTAATTTCTGTAATACTCCTGCTAGCGTAGTATCAGGGTTAAGACACTTCTTACTTAGTCCTAGGTGCCTATCTTTTGTTTTTATACTGAAGTATGCATCCTTAGGGAGAGCAAACATTTGTGACATCTGGCTCCTAGAAACTTTAAAGAGAGACAAGACTGAAATCAAATTTGTGTTGTTGTCTAGGTAATAATCAGCTGGTCCCTTTGCATGCTGGATGAAAATAACAGAATACTTCAGCAGTTTGTCAAGGGACATTCTTTTAAAGTATTTCTCTCATACAAATTTATTATCATTCAGTTTCACATTTCATGAAGACATCCACAAGTGACAGTTTATACAAAAGTGCATGTATTAAATATTCCAAATTAAATGGAAGAATTTCATACTATTGTTTTCAAAGAAATTCAAGTATCAAATGGAATCTCCACAGATCTGTTAAGGAAGGGGTTCCCAAACTCTGGGCCATAGCCTACTACTGGGTGGCAGCCTATTTGCAATCAGGCCATGTGAACATTGGGCAAGTTGAGCTGTGGACACATGCATGTGCATGCCACCCTGTTTGCGCATGTCAAACTGTGTGCATGCGTGCCAGCCTGACACTCCTGAAGCCCAGTTCACCTCTCCCCCTCCCCAGCCAGGCCACCAAGTCATGAAGGATAGGAACCACTGTGTTAAGGCATGTAATATTAGAATGACAGTTAAATAAGGTGGGACAATCTCATTACAGATGAGATTGTCCCACCTTATTGAATAAAAGGGAAGCGGGGGAACCCTTGCAGGGCAGAGCTGAGGACTATGCCCAATTCTTAGCGGACAAAATTGCTCGGTTTCGGTCGGACTTGGACTCCATCCCCGCAGCTCCAGCCGAGGCACAGGAGGATCAAGTAGAACAGTTCTGGGTTGAGTTTCAGGATGTTACCCCCGGGGATGTGGACAAGGC